AAAAAAAACGCACGCAGGCACACAACAGGCCAACAAAATTTTCAACACTACTAACTACTGACTGAAAGACAAAAAATGGATAAAAACAAAGGCACTCATCAGACCAACAAAGTTTTATCACAGGGAGTTAACAAGCCACAGAGCCGCATGCAGGCCTCACAAGTCACGAATCCCACCAATCCCAATCCCACCACGGCTTCCGAAATGAGCTGTGATTCATTTCTAACTATAGAGAATCACAATGCTGTATCCCAGATGTCATTGCGATACCACAGCTCCTCCAGGAGGTCTCGAATTTGGGAGGCGTTTGGTCGAACATCCGGGTCTTGTTCAAAACACAAATGCATCACTTCCTGAAGCTGGAAAAATAATGAACTTAATCAAATAAAAATGCACTGAAAAATAATGATAAACACAAAACTGTGATAAGAAAAAGGAAAAAAGTTTTGCCGTAAGAGACTATATTGAGGGTATCGCGCCTGTTACTGAACTTACTTGCAAACCATTCTCGTCCCCAGAGGCCGCGCTCCTTTTGGTCGATCAGCATCAAGAATCACAACCTCTGGCCTGACCCGATTTTCTGATCATGCGCAGAGTATTCGTTTCGTATTCTCAGCAAATCAGATTTGTCAGATTTGACGTGAAGTCTGTGAATCGCGGACTTCCGGTGTTGGACCGGCCCAGTGGTCGCGATTCTTGGTGCTGACCAAAAGGAGCGCGGCCTCTGGTGACGGGAATGCTTGTAAAGTTGACTTAATCTTTCTAATTGTTTATTTTAACAATTCTAAAAGAATACAATATAAATTAACAAAAATAATTTATTATGAGTACAAGTCATTTCATGAGCATAATACACAACACGCACACAACAGATCTAGCTCCTCGTGCTTCCTTCACGTATTATCCTCGGATGTAAGAGACGATGATCTAAGAGAACACAACCCCCATACATGGGCCTCTTCCAATGATGTATATTTTTCAATTTCATTTTATCGCCTGGTCATACTTGCGAGGCTATTTTAGGAAAGACACCTGATTGGTCAAGTTAGATGGCGTAATGAAATTCAAAGTTTGGTTTTGTAATCAAATATGCAAAAAAAAAAAAAAAAATTGCGCCTGGATTTTCGGAGCGCAAGTCGTAAGGAAAGGGTAAGTAAAATTCGCCGGGGTGCTTTGAAAGAGGATTTCAGAGTTTTTTTTCTCTTTAATTCGTTTTTCATTAGCTGCGAGATCATGGGACCGAGATTAAAAATGACTTTGACAGCGTGACGCGAAGCTTAAAATAGATTTAAAAGGATTGTAGTGGGGCACAAGGATGTGTTCTATTTAACAATTAGATTATGAGCTGGACGTTTCTAATGAAGTGATAGTTGATTCGGCCTTCGGCCTCATCAACTATCACTTCATAGAAATCGAGAGCGAATAATCTTATTGTTTTAGTAGAATTCTGACTGAAATTTCCTTCAAATAGCGATTTCAATTATTTCTGGTCTTAGTATTAAACTTCAAGCTTTAGAGAATTCGCCCGGACTGAAGTAGTTGTCAATTTGACATTTGCATTTGTGTACGCGCGCTTATCAGTTTCTTTCAAAAATTTCGAACTTTTTTTAATTCAAGAAACCGTAAATGCTCACATTCTAGTCTTCTCAGGAATTTTGTTTATTCATTTTTTTGTAAATGTTCTTTCAAAACTACGGAGAAACGAGGAAACGTTACAATTTTGTCGACCAAACCAAGCCACTGCACACTAATAAACAATTAGATTATGAGCCTGAGATTTCTATCGCGTGATAGTTGACGAGGGCGCAGCCCGAGTTAACCATCACGCATAGAGAGCGAATAATCTAATTGTTTTAGTGCAAATCTACTAGTCGTTCAAAACTTAAAAACAAGACAGATTTACGTTTTTATTAACAATGATAAAAACAGGTCACGCCACGCGAGGATAATTGAAAAATATATCGCATTGTGTTGGTTTCTGTGTGCGCGCACTTTCACATTTCATTCAGGATGAGCCAAGCCGATGAGCCGAGTTTGATTACAAAATCAACGATCAAATGATGCAAAAATGCCATTGGAAGCCAGGTTTCTTAATTTAGAAAACGTCAATGACAAGAAAATATTAAGTTAAAAAGTTAAACAAAGGCTTGAGAGACTTGCATTGCCGGAAGGTCGTACTGCAAAGTTAACGAAAGAAGTTGTTGTTGTTCACAATGGAGACCGTGCAACCATCGAAGGTGATCGACTGTGGAAGATCGTTGTTTGACTGCTGATAAACTTGTGATGTGACGGCAGCAGAATAGTTGGATGGATAATTCTCGTTCTGCATTTGAATCTGAACATCGGAGCGATTCTGGATAGCTAGCGGTTGGAGTAATGATTCTTCTCCAGATACGAATCCGCTCAAAATATTCGACATGTTTTCCTTCTGGGGGAAAGATGTTCTTGCGTTGTAGGATTCAATGGCACTGTCTGACTTGTGGCCGGTAACTGCCTTAATGTGTCTTGCCTCTACATTACGATCAGATAAAACCGTCACAGCTGTGGCTCTCACACACCAGCTGCCATACTCATCGTTTTCAACATATTGGCGAGTGTTGATTCTCCAACTGGTGAATTTCAATACCAGATGCTTTCTTTGTCAGGGTTTAATTTTGCTGACAGTTCCCCTGGTCGTTGGAACAGGCAATCCAGTTTGGGATTAAGATGCTTGAGGAAATTGTAAATTGTTTTGACGGGGCAGCGGCTGGAATTAATTACTTCAAAAATCTTTCATCGTTAAGCCCGCCTTGGTGGTTTTTGGTGTAAATTAGAGCATCCCTTCGAAGCTCATAGTATCGTCTTCCTTGTAGTTTGAAGAACCAACATTTCTTTGGTGAGTTTTCTTTGATTTTCCCGCCCTCGTTTTCCAAAGTAAAGGGTTAAGTAAAACCAGGCCGTTCGCAGTAGTTGGGAGGGATCTTTTAAGTTGGAGTCGCCAAGTTGACCACTTCTGAACAACTCTTGCATTTGTGCGCTGGTTAACGGGTGTTTATGCACCACAGGACCTACTTTGCCTTCTTTCATCATGTTTTTCCAAATAGCATTTAGCGTTTGGTTGGCCTATGCAAATTCAGAATCTCCGATAATTGACCAGGGCTTGTTGTTAGACGGCTGCTTCAAATACCGGTCAATGGCACCGCGTATCGCTCGCAGCGAAATAACTTTGAATTCGCTTCCATTTTTTTTTGCCGTACAGAGGCATAAAAAACCTGCAAGCATCCGTTAAGCTCTTCTTTTGACTGTTCTTCAATGGGAAGAGTGAATTTCTGTTGGCTTGCGAACCATTCTAAAATTTGTTTACAAAAAATGTGTCAATTGAAATGCAACTTTTGAAAATTTAATTTTGTATGTGAAGGTGAATTAATAAACATGACACGAGCGTGGGACAAAGAAAAATTCTGAGTCCCCGACAGGAATCGAACCCATGACCTCCCGAACACCGGGCG